AATAAATTGACGGGATATTACAGTTTAGGTCTTGTTTTCTCTTTTCGTGTGATTGAATACACGTGTAAAATAATTCGGCTGACCTTCTTTGAGATACGACCTGGGGAATGAATCTTTCGATTCTACTCCGGTAAAAATATTTACAACAAATTGGTGCCGTTTCCGGGGAAGGTTTAGGTTTATTTTATGCGCTTATTCAACTTATTTCTCGTGTTTCTCTTTGATTTTGTGTTATTCTTGTTTTCGGTGTTTCATTTGTTTTCTTATTTTATTTTATTTTCTTTACTATTGGTGCTCGTAACCTGTTTGCTACTTGAGTGTATGCGTACCAGGAATGGACGTATACTATCCCCAATCAACAAGTCGGTTAACGAGAGCTTGAGAGAGCTGCTAGAGGAGCTGACTGGAATCACAAGAAAAAGGCGAACACTCTCCGAAATCATCCGAGGGAAGCAACTGAGACATGGCAGAACAACAACAAGAACCGCCCTGTAATGTCCTTCGGAACCTGGCTCAGTCCATGATCGGGCCAATAACTTCTTGCATCCGGTTGCCTCAAGCCGCCCGAAACTATAAGCTGAAGATGGTCCACAACAATCAGCTCCCGTCATTCCACGGGCTCCCCAACAAAGACCCACTCCATTTTCTTAGGGAGTTCTACAACATCCTCTAGAAGTTCCCTCTACACGGGCTGAACGAGAATCAAATCAAAATGCGGTGTTTCCCGGAGACTCTGAAGGACTGGGCAAAGGCGTGGTTCATGACTTTCTCCCCGGATTCTCTCACGACTTGAGCTGAAGTGTACTCTAAGTTCGTCGGGAAGTACTATTCCCATCAGAAGACCCAAGATATCTGGTCCCAGATAGTCACTTTTGCTCAACTGCCACACGAGCCTCTTCATGAGGCCTGGGAACGTTTCAAGGACCTACAGACGCAGTGCCCCCACCACAACATTGCTCCAGGGTTATTAGCGAATTGCTTCTACCACTCCCTCAATCAGAACCTGTAATACATGGTGGATAATGCAGCCGGAGGGGATATCGGGGCTAGGACTGCTGAAGAGATGATTGCTATCTATGAGACAATGAGTGCTAACTCATCTCAGCAAAGTGTCAGAGTGAAGAGGTCTGCAGTGAATGAGGTTGGCTCGAGTAATAATGCCATGGGCCAACAGTTAGTCGAGCTCACAGAGCAGATGCGACTATTGAATGCTCGAAGTTCCTCATTGATTCAGACGATGGCAGTGAATGTTTGTGGTGCATGCGGTGTGCAAGGACACAGTTCAGAAGTGTGCCCGTCGGCTGTCGAACCGGGCTATGGAAGCCAGACTACCGAGGTGAATGCAATGCAGGGGTATCAAAACCGGCCCAGAAATGACCCCTACTCGAACACGTATAACCCGGGGTGGTGAAACCACCCTCTCTTCTCGTGGGCCAATAACCATTATCAGCAGCCACATCAAACCAACTTTGTTCCACAGCAGCAGCAACCTAGGGGAATGTTAAGGCTGCCAGCACCAGAAACCGGACCAACCCCACCGGGCATGGACGACAAGCTCGACAAGATTCTAAACATCATCACCAATCAAGATGCATCCATTAAACATCTCGAGACGCAAGTAGGCCAGCTGGCCACACGGGTTGGGAACATCGAGACTGAGATGGATAAAGGGAAGCTGTCGAGCCAGCCGGAGCACGCAAAATCAGTCACGGTGCTTATGCTCGAATTAGAGGGCCCGACAGAGGAAGGACATAAAATGGAGACCCAAGTTATGCCACCACCCGAGCCTGCTTTACACAAATCCCTGAACCCATACAAGCCGAAAAATCTATTCCCGAGCCGGCTCTTGAAGGAGAAAGACCGTAGGATGATTCAGGACCTACATGCAATGTTGGCTAAGGCCAACGTTGGCTTATCTCCCCCTGATGTGATCAAGAAGATACCGAAATATGTTAGATTTTTCAAGGAATTAGCGGCAAATAAACAGAGGCTCGAGAGCAGTGATGAGGTGCTAGAGTCAGAAGCAGCAAGTGTCTTCCAGCATGACTTGCTGAGGAAAGAAAAGGATCCCGGAGGCTTTTGATCACTATGGCCTTCAGGAACGGGGAAGAGACTTCAGGCATGCTCGATCTGGGAGCTGGCATTAACCTCATGCCACTAACGGTTTATCATAAGCTCGGGCTCGGGGAGTTGAAGCCCACCAAGATGCGCTTACAGCTTGCAGACCGTTCATTTTGTCACCCCATAGGGATTGTGGAGGATGTGCTCGTCCGAGTGGGGAAGCTGATAGTCCCCGTGGACTTCGTCGTGCTTGATGGGGGGAGTGTGCAAGAAAATGGTAAGGAGCACGCCATCCTCCTCGGACGACCCTTCATGGACACCATTAGCACGGTCATAGATGTGAGGAAAAGGAGGGCGAGCATGACAGTGTTGGGCGAGTCCATCGCCATTTCTATTCGTGAGACCCAGCCTGAGCCGCAGGAGAAATTGGTGGAGAAGTGTATGTTCATGTGAGCTATTGAGCTACTGAGCCCCACAATAATTGTGTTCAAGCACTCATTTTCTTCTCACTTAAACAACAATCAGTTACTTGCAAAATGTGTTAAATCATGTGAATTTAGTAACTGATTGACACTGCCTAGGCAAACTGTAGAAGGATAATTCTAGTTTATGAACATAGAAGGATAATTGTTGTTTCGCAAGTAACTGATTGAGTGATCTTGGGTTCGCTAGATGACGACCCAGCCTATCTAAGTGCAAAACAACAGAACATAGAATTTGTTTAATCTAACATGATTCTCATTCATAAAGGGTAAAAGTGTAATATCATCTAAAGCCAAGCTTTCAGTATATAATACTAACAGTGGGGGACAGTAAGAAAAATTAGTGTTGAACTGATTTTACGGTTCCATTTTCCGTAAGTGGAAGAATTGAAAATTCTTAAAAACCCATTTTATGGTTAACGGGAAATAAATTATAAGTGTTATTTGTGAAATAATTAAGTTTAAGTAACTCAAACATTATAGAGTTCACAAACATTCTGTTTTGACAAATGTTCGATCAAACTAAAAGTCATAATCACGCATTGTATGCTATAACTGTAGATAGGCTAATTGGACACAATTAGTAACAAAAGAAACACGATTCCAAGTCCAAGCGAGTGCGTACGAGCTCCCGGCGCGCACAGGCCTTGTCGCGTGAGCGATGATCGTCGCGAGGGCGACGACTTGTTTTACCTGCGGAAGGGCACGACATCTCCAAAAAAGTTTTTTTTTTTTTTTTTTTTTTTTTTTTTTTTTTATATGCCATGAACCCTTGGAGATGTATTAGGACAACTATAAACTCCCATGAATATGGATGAACATGGGACTCGGAGAATTTCGAATCGTTTCAAAAACCGAACCGAAATCATTCCGAACCGAAAAATAACTGTTGACCGTTGACTTTCTCCGAACCGAACCGAACCGAAAAAATAATTGGTACGGTTCTGGAGATTTCATAAATATCCGTACTGAGAACCGAACCGAACCGAATAACTGAAATTAAAAACTGAATTATAACGTTAATTGTGTGTTACTAATATACTTCATGTCAATTTTGATCCTATATAATTTGAGAATTTTTAAAAAGCAAGAAAATATAGTAATAACAATTAAGCTTCACTTAAATTCCATGCTTAGTAATATTTGATATACAGTTGAAATTTTGCTGTTTAAAAAAAAAATATTTTTAGTGTTATGAAAGGTTAAAGAAATTCTTTCTTTAAAATATTTAAACTTACTTCAAGTTGTCGATACTTCTTTTCGTCTTATTCTATATTATAATTATAATGGTATGAAAGGTTAAAGAATTATTATTTTAAGAAAAATTATATTATATTTTGTTTAATTTTTAAATTTTCAATGTTAGTGCAAAAATTTAGTCTTAACTGCAATTTAGAGTTACTTCTAAATTTGATTTCAAAATAAGATTTTTAATATGATAAAATATTGATGAATGTTAGATTTTTTTTTTTTAAAAAAAAAGATGCAAATAAAAATTAAAACATAACTAGGTAGTCATTAAAGGTAATACTAATAATAATTAGAAATCTCCGGGGATTCGAACTGAGCCGAACCGCACCGAACTATCCCTATAGTCCCAAATACCGAATCGGACCGAAAATAAAAATCTCCGAACCGAACCAAACCGATTTTTTGGTACGGTTCCGAAGATTGAATTTTAGTAATCTCCGACTTTCGGTACAGTTCCGGATATTTG